TCAGTGATTATCAGATGATATCTGACGTTCTAATACAAAAAAAAAACCTCACTTGGTTCAACATATGTGGGATTTTGTGCTTGTTCAGCATTGCTGTTTTTATAGAATCAAACTGTTCTAAATTTCTCACAGTAAATTTAAAATCACTGATGCTAACAGATTTCATAAAGTGTGTCCAAATACCGTGTGACTAATGAGTGACAAAATGACAAAAAAATCATGATTCATTTTTTTTGTTTCCCCCTCAGTACAAGAAGATGGACTGCAATCTTGAGAAGCTGAGAAAGAGGATATTTGAGATCATCAATTACATAAATCATGTGAGTCAGTGACGACATATATGCTATTAAAAAATTCCAGCATGCCAACATTTATGGATCATACAGGATATTACAACTAGGACCTGTGATAACAAGGATTCTTGAGTGTGATAATTAATCACATAGCTAGATATATGCCATCTACAGGTCTTCTGATGAGTACTGGTTTAGTACTTTGGTTAAAACTATTGATGGTGACCAAATGTGTTTTTGTCACACTAGTACAAAACGTATATACAGTGGAGTCAAAAAACCCCCCCCTCTGATTTAAACTCCATATTAAAGCTTGATTCAAAAGTGATTTAAAACAAAGGAACATAATGGCATAAAATTAGTAAAAAACATTTAAGATTCTGCATTTCTATAGGTTCTAGATTTATCAAATTTGTGACAAAGCCAATGACAACCTTGCTTCCACTGAAGCACACAAGATGCAAATCCTGCTGAATAACATGGCTAAAATTTTTCCACAAGCTCGCGAGTCAGTTTCATCCAAAAGGATAGCATACAAAATACCAATCGTAACAACCTGTGATGGATAGCGTAGGTCCCTCTATTGTATGTCAATTGAAAAAAAAAAGTGTACTAAATGCATAGATGTACTAATTCTGTATTTGAAGAAATAAAAAAAAATGTTGATTTTTTACTTAATTTTTTATATAATTTGTCATTTAAAAAGGTATTCAATCAGAAAAAAAGTTGCTAGTGGTTTCAGACTTTTGGACCCCACTGTACACAATATACAAAGAGTTAATTTGCAAAAACCGATAACTGCATTTTTTGTTTTTTTCAGAAATCACGTTTTTTTTATTGTGCATTCCAAGTATTATCAATCAAACTGCAGTTGGGTTGTTTTGATTAAGTAATAATAACTTAAACAAATACCGGTAATTTACAAAATTAAAGCTGCAGTCCTTAACTTTTTTTGGTTAAAAATTATCCAAAATCAATATTTGAGCAAGTACATAACCAGCCAGTGTTCAAAACTATCACCTTACTTTAGCCCGATTCACAACTGTTAGTTTATAATAATGTTTTCTAATTTGAGTGGTACGGGTAGGTTTTCGCAGGAAATTCAAGCATGCTGCCACGTCACTACGTCACGTCTGTAAACATAAAGAAGTTGTCCCGGCCACTAGGCTATATTGCATGTGACTGAGGATCTTGCAGGTGGCCGATCGTTTATAGCCTTTTCTCACAGCTGCTAGAATAATTAAATGTATCATTTTGATGGTGGATTGTAATCCAGAAATGATTGTGTATATGAAACACATGTGAATGAAATTAAATTATATTCCAGTTTTAAATGTGCTTCTGATTACAGATAGCCTGGGATTACACAAGATTTGTATTTTAAAGACAACCAGTTTGATGGGAGCATGTTTGCTTTTTGGGTTAAAAGAATTTCTTAATATGAAATTCAAATGGTATCACAATTAGATATTAGAGTGTACAGAAATTGAAATCTACACACTAATACACACATAGTCACGCAATTCTGATATTGTTAACATTAATAATTTGAGAATAAAGTATAACAATACTAATCATTTGCACGGTTTGATGTGATATGAGCTAACCGACCTTTAGATTTAATCACCATTGGTAGCGCAATTTATTATAATGTTTTTTTCCTCAGTTGTTCAAAACAAAAGTGCCAGACTTGTTACTTACTTGTTCAGATGGCAATATACAGTGAAAATTCTTATTTGGGTCATATATTCCAAGATGTAGGCTAGAATCTGTGATTACGAAGTACAGTAAATATCCACACTGTTGTGGTGACTGACTGCATGCTGGAGCCGTGTCGACTCACAACCCACGCAAGGAAGATAATTCTGCAAAAAGCTGCAATTGCAGGTTTTCAAACAGAGATGGCGACAAAGAGGCAAAACTTACGGACTGCAGCTTTAAAGTTCGTTGAAAGGAAAATTCTTATTTGGGTCATATATTCCAAGATGTAGGCTAGAATCTGTGATTACGAAGTACAGTAAATATCCACACTGTTGTGGTGACTGACTGCATGCTGGAGCCGTGTCGACTCACAACCCACGCAAGGAAGATAATTCTGCAAAAAGCTGCAATTGCAGGTTTTCAAACAGAGATGGCGACAAAGAGGCAAAACTTACGGGCTGCAGCTTTAAAGTTCGTTGAAAGTTTTTTTTTTTTTTTTTTTTACATATTAAAAGTTTGTTTTATAGCAAAAGCAGATAACTCCAACAGTTGTTTTTTGGCAAAAGCAGATAACTCAACATTTCATATTTTAGAGTTTAAAAAAACACTTGTTTAATCTTTGTAATGTAGATGAATCCGTGTATCATTCGATCATTCGTTTTTTGATTTAATATTGAAAGTAGAAAAATTAGAAAACGGCTCCTTTTTCATTTTCCCGTTTTTTACCAAAACAGGAAAAACGAGAATTCAGCTTAAATGTTCGTTTTTCGTTTATGGGTGGAAAAATGAATAAACAGCTTGAATATTGGATTTCTACACGTGGGCGGGAATTAAACGCCCTT